AATTTTGCTAAAAACCGTACTTTAAAATAATAAACAGAACAGAAATTTTTGCTTGGCCTCATGTTTTTTTTAACTTATTTTCAAAACGCTGCCTATTCAATTAATGATAAAAAAGTGCAAAGGACAAAGCTGTAGAGAATTCAATTTGATTTAAAAAATGTGCTTGTAACTTTTCTGTTTGTGTTATCATCTTCATTTAAATAAAACAATTTTTTTCATTTTTCTTACACTGTATACAGAGTGATTCTTAAATAGTCCGACAAAATTTTATCACAGCTTCCCCCAAGGATAAATAGAGACTATCTGTACTTACCCTTTTTACGTTTTAGGGGTAAAACCCCCTTGATCCGTGCCACTTATGGCGTTTTTGAATTGTTGCAATGATCAAGTACATTTGTCAAATTAATACCATGGTTTCCACCACCTATTTACATGTTCGTAACACTGATGTGTAACATCAGAGGCGTACGCATTACCTCGAGCATAACTGTAATAAATTTTATTTCAAAAACGGTTAAACAAAGAATTTTTTACTATCTTTTTCCAGCATGTACTTATTTGCTACTACCACGGCTAAATTTTTGTCGGTCTATTTAAGAATCACCTGTATACAGTCTAAGAAAAATGAAAAAAATTGTCATGCAATTGTGCATGTCTACAGGCATGCTACTGAGACTCGGTCATTGAATAGCAGCGATGCATTGATCTGTGTTTTTTTAGGTTGAATATGTTCAGAGTTAAAAACATATCCCTGTATAAATACTTATCAACATATACAAGCTTGTTCCTATGGGGCTGGGAATAAATGAAAATTTTAGTACCGGTTTTGATGAATGGATTCTACTCTGAACTAAATTGCAAAAATTTTAATTGAATTAAAATGAAAAGAATTACATTTTTAAACTTGGATTGGAAATAAGTGAGCTGATTGTAAGTGTCCAGTTGTACAGATATTTCTTCAAGTTAGCACCTCAGCTATTCCAATATTCAAGATGTTTCAGTATTCTTTGCTTGCTTCGCAGCTGACGGCACTGCATAAACGTTGTTTGCGAAAAAGAAATAACATAATTTTGTGATAGATTGTAGATAGTGGTTCTCCCATGCCTGTTCAAGAGACCAGAAGTTTTATCTGCGAATTTGCAGACTGTTCAGCTGTGAGTGTCTAAATATTCCAAGTGATTTTCTTTTGCAATAATAAGCAATTGCAGAGTTTTAATTCGCGTGCCGCTCTTAACGGCCACATACGAATTCACGGTGGAACCGCCCGGAATTCTCCAACGCCATCTGCAAACGCAGATAAGCGCACTTCCTCCGTAAGTTCAACTGTTTGTCATCCCGACTCAACAGAAGATTACCCCTGTAAGATATGCGGGAAGTAAGTGTACTCCATTCAACATAGCATAGCTAAGGTAAATGATCGGTGTGTTGCGTCCTCTGCTTACGTGCTAACACTATCGTTATTCTTACTACAACATCCAGTGAGCGGACTAAGGTATCTTTTAGTTACCTTCGAGTCGTTCGGCTCGAAGCGACCTTTTTATCGTTTCAGTTCGTTTTTTATGTTGTTCATTTGATCGTTTTTTTGTTTTCGCATGACTTAGTTTCATTTGTTTCTTATGCAAACTTCTTTGCTACTGGAGTTACCATAGATTTCTTAATAGTGAACAAATTATTAGAAACATGTGATACCTTGCACGTGAGCATGTCACAACAAACATTCATAAACAGAGGCCGATCATCATACACTTGCCACTGCAAAATACAATTTATTTGTCACACGATATAGGCTGTGCGGCGCTGGTTCTTGCAAAAAATATTAAATAAATTGATAAAATTATTGGAGGAGTTGTAATCATTTATTGCAACAGATGAACCTTGTTTAGTATAGTTAAGTGCAAAAACCAGAGCAGTGAATTTAGTTCGTCAGTCGTAATCTAATAATGTATCTTTTTTGTTAGAGTTTTTACAAAGATCAAAAGCCGGAGTGCCCACATGAAGTCGCATCGTCCACCCGATGCTGAACCGGTGAAACGCAGAGAAAAAGAAGCACATCCTTCGTGTACAAGCTTTGAACTTTCCGTGCCAAGCCCATATAACACTTAGTACTAGAAGCTATCCAAAAATCAAATAATTAAGTAAATCAAAAACAGGTAAAGGGCAATCAAAATTTTTATTTCGAGGTCAGATCAGAAAACCAGAACAGAAATTTTATTAAATCGTGTACTACAAAAGACATGTAAATTACTCAAAAGAAATTAGAAAAAATTGTAGGTAAAAAGAATTATAGGTAGAGTAGTTGTACAAATTGCAATCCACATATTAACAGAGATTTATATTTAATATTGATAGGGGTTGTGTTACGTTACACTATCGTAACGTTAGTGCCTTTTCGAATGTCGAGTGAGACACTATTAAGCTTGCGTTACATTATACGTAACGTGGGCTCTTTCAGTACCATAGTGATCTGGTATTTTGAATTAGTGCTCAGAAGTTCAACTTGCACGATACTCGGTTTCCTTCTGTAAGTTCTCATGAGCAATAGATCTGAACTCAAAACTAAATAATCAAATATCATAATGGCCATAATATAGCGTGAACTATACGTATTGGCGGAGGAACCGCCGTCCCCTCTTCCTCTGACTACTAAATGTATGTCGTGGATTTGCTCAAACGTCACTTTTTATCTACTTTTTAGTTGTGTAATGTGTAGAGAAACTGATATTTTGCTAGCACTACAAATTGTGTGCGCAGTGTGAATGTCTCCATTAAAAATGTGCCACTCAGCCGGAGCGAAGGGGGGCGTCGGTGCCGTCCACTTTTTTAAAGTTGGTACTATTTGGTACTATTTAACTCTGTGTTGTGATCTTTTTAAAAGTCTATTACTATGAATCTATTTATATTAATACTTAATATTAATAAATATTTGTACATGTTACTGTATGTATGATATTAGCGTTAAATTAGAGGTCGGCGCGTCGCCAAGGGGAGTCCCAGGCTTTTCCAGTAAAAAATGACAATCCACTTCATTTTATTCGTATTTATGTATTGGTGTTTTTTGAGTGTCTGCAAGACGTTAAACATAGATTAAGTCGCTAATCATCATCCATAAATATATATCGAGTCACTGTTGGATGTTTTATAACAAGAGAGAAGTCAAATGTTGTATGTTTTACTAATTAAATGCTCATAAAATTATGAGGTATGTAGGTTAGGTGCACTTGGGCTCTTCTGGCAGGGGCACGACCATCAGACTGGGCCACTTGGTGGTAGTCTAGGTATCAGGTGCTCAGACCTATCAATTAATTGTTGTTAAATTAATGTACCTACCTTGAATTGACAGGCATTTGCTGTTACGACAAATTTTTCAATAGAGTAGTAATGAAATTCGTTTTTTAAACCGTGACCCATATCACACTTTCTTTCGATATAATAACACGAACTAATCTAATCACGGCCTAATGTTGTGGTGTAGTCGGAAATCCGAAACGTTTTTAATTGTGATATACTGTTGAATGTTGAAATGTCTGTCAGTTCGTCTAGATGATGATCACCTTGTGTTATTATGTATATGTGACTTGACACTAGATCTTTTAAGTGTGATTTGAGAACAATCATTCATGTAAAATAAACCTAAAAATTGCTGTGGTCTTTCAAGAGAAACTATATATACAATACCTGACTGTCCAGCATTGTTTTTACGTCATTGTGACTGCTTAGCAGTTCGTCGGGGCTTTTAGTTAAATATGATACGATTTAGTTTAAATTTAAATAAAAGAAATAACTAGTATGAATGTGTGCCTGTATAACGATTTAATTTGTGCCAACATTGGATATCATAGTTGAGCTTAGCAAAAGTGTCATGTAACATATTTTAGTATGAAAAATGCTTGTATATTTGTAAATAGGCTAAAATATTTACCCTTTTCGCACCGACATCTGCCAACAATCATCGATTTTCACCCGTTCTTTTCCACGTTTTGCGTTCGCACCGATTATTGGCACATGTCGTGTTTTGTAAATGTTTGAGGTTTTATTAATAGATTTTTGCCAAATTGTTTGACCCCATTGCATCGCCATTTGTAGAGGGGACGTGTAGTATGCAATAAGCTATACATAAGAAAATTTACTCTGTGTATTACCAAAATATATGAAATATTGCTTTTATTTTATGGTCGCGCGTGGCGCCACCGCCTGCCACACTTCTCACCTGTAGCAATCTGTGATGTCACGTGACTGACATGCTTCGTTCTGTCGAGATTATACACAGAATCGAACCGTTCCCTATCCGTACCTGACTTAACATTTTTCATTCATTGTTATATATCCATTTCGGTACTAACTGTATTAACCCGTTGTGTTGTTTCCTTAGAGTTGAGTGCGTTTAATATTTAAACACAAAAATATAAAAACAGAGTATCCCCCAATTTAATAAAATAAGATGATAAATTTTGTGTAATATTTTACATTTATGATGTCTCAAGATGTTGTGCTCATTTTATATCAAATAATAACAAAATGTAAATCTTTAATCAAATGTCAATACTTGTAGCTCAAACTTTTTATATTTTTTTCCAAATCCAATAATGCAATCTGTAGATTTTTATGACCACGTGTGTCATGACAGTGTGTTCAAATTTGAGATTTTTTGCAGTTGTATTTTTGTACCTCCAAATTTTTATTTTCCGTCATCAACTTATAGACAATCCCTTCGGTCAAATGAAACTATAACTGCAACGAAACCTCAATGTTGTAAAAAAGTAGAAATACTCTACATGCGTTTGTAACTGTAATCCAGTTTACTATCTTGTGTTAAATATATATATTAATAATTGTTTTATTTGACTGTTTTAAAAAGATATTTGTTGTTAAATTCTGTCCAAATATTTCCAAACGTATGTTTAAAAAGTGTATATGTATATACTTGTATTATTGTATGCACAATAAAATATGGCGTTGTAATTATACAAGGGTGTTTCCAAAAAAAAAAGTAAAACAGCCAATTGTCTGTTTCATATTTATTTTAAAAAATATAACACACTCACCAGCATAAAATACACGGCAGATCTATTCTCTATCGGCAGGTGCCGCTTTTAAGCTCTTTATTGCCATCTGCAAAGCACCTTCTTTTGTTTTATTTCCGCCAATGAAACCAGTGGCATGACAAAAAACACATCCGTCGATACCCGCAATGTCACTAAGCTGCTCATCGCGCACTCCTCTCCAGTCCTTATGCAAAAACACCCTACAGAAATATAATTATGAAAACAGAAATTTAAAAAAAAAATCAACTTACCTGCATACGAAACTATCAGGCTGGATAGGAATTCCCTGAACTCTCCACGAGCTACTTTTGTCGTTGAAAATGACAAATTTTAACTGATCTTGAATTCCCATTTCATCTTCTAAAGCCAAAAGGTGATCTTTCCAAGGACATCGTTCTTCCAGGACGATGATCTCTCCTGACTCGTGGATTTTCTTTCTATACTCGATCGCGTTTCGCACTATTTGCCGCGCCGGCCACCACACGATAACAGCCTACAAATTTTTTACATAAAAATCAATATTTTTATCTGTCTAGAGACAGACAATAGACTGTATGCAGACACAGATAGTGAAAATGAAAAGGGAAAAAATACAATTTCAAATTTTCTTCTGTTACAGCTTAAATAACAGACTTTTCCTTCAAAACATAATTTTAAGGATTTTTTAATTAAAAATAATTGTTATAAAATGTAATAATCGCGTTCTATTGTTTTCAATATTAAATCGGCTTACAAGCAAAGAGGCAATGCAACAAATAATCGTCAACTTCGTAATTAAAAATTCATTTTGCGGTAGTTCACTATTCAATTTACCTCAATTACGCGTTCCTTGAATTCAGCTCCCACCATTTCCACAGCCTTCATAAACAGCTCATCTGTGGATTCGGGCTCTGGTGAATTCCACTCTGGATTCAGCCTATGTATTCTAGCACTTAAATTCGTATTTATGCGATACCTTGGCTTGCCTTCTGCATACATTGGAACCCCATTATCAATAGCATCTAGTTCCTCAACAAAACCTTCATAAACATGTAAGAACACATTCCGAAGACAGTTTGCTGGAATTGGATATCCTTGCTGCTGTATTATCTCCTTGATAACATCCAACCCAAAATGTGCATAGATCAAACCTGCTGAACTTAACCTCCACGAACAAACTATCAACTGCTCTCCCAAACCACAAAACTTACTTGATTGTGCTTTTCTTGGCAAGATCTGGTCTTACACTTGCTAAGGTCTCTTCAAAACCTCTCTGGTGATGGTCATACCGATTGATTTTTGGATTGTAGACTGCACCAACATCCACAACAACATCGCACGTGTCTAAAATCTGTACATTTCATTGTTTTTTTTTTTTTTAATTAAAGATTTAATCGTCAACTCACAGACATGTCTCTAGTTCTTATAATCTCGGCCTCACGATAATCCGGAAGCTGTTTTAGCATGTAACAAGCAAGAGCTTCATCACAGTGAAACACGCCGCTGTGTGTTCCGATTTTTTTCATTAATTTTGGGGTTTTACTGTCTGTTGCCATTGTCGCAAAACTGCAATTTGGTTAGGTTATTTTTTTATACCAAAACTATGAAAGAAATGAATCTAACAAACCCCTTCCACACTTTCAACGCTACGGAAGAAGTAAAGCGGATCGCTTTCGCGCTTAAAGACATTAAATCCATTCATAACCTAAAAATTTCACGATTTCAGTTCAAGTAGAATCTACTGCGCAGTCGAGAATACATAAACCCCAGAACAGTGAACTACAAGAATATCCGATCTGGAGAATTCCTCTAATATTAACTTTTAGTTAATACCTATGGTTAATACCACCAAATCCCATAACAATAATTATGCAAATGTAGAAAGTTGTGACAGTTGTGGTCTACTCTAGATGTAACTAACTGAATAATAATAGTATATTATACAGGGTGATTCACATAACTTTACGATCCTGACGAACTTTAAATGCAACCAGTTAAACGTTACTCAATTATAACTTGATTCAAAAAGACTAATAATTATAAACTTATTTGAGATTTGGACATCCCTAATAAAAATTTAATAACGCCAATCAATAAATAAATGACTAAAGTCGCAGTCAATTCGTAGTGGCCACTTCCCTGTGTAAATTTATAAAAATTAAGTTGTGTAAATCCGACTTTAAACATCCAATTGTTTTTTTAAGAACAGATCTATCAAAAATGACAATTCTGAAAAAGTCGGGTTAGAATACTTCACATATAAAATCTATTGCGCCTGTCACAATTGTTGACACAATTTAGTTACTTCAGCTACCAACATAAACACAACTCAGACACTAGAGGCCACCTCTAGCCCGCCACGGGCTGGGGACTGCCAACTTTGCAATAAATTAAATGGCCATTATGAGTTGGCCGCGACTTTACAATGGAGTAACAACACATTTTTATTTTAGTAAAGAAACAGTGAAATGTGTACAATAGTAAAAAAACAGTAAAATAACTCAAAAAACCAAACAATAACTAGAGAATTTAATGCAACAAATTTTCAAAGTGATGTCCATTATTTTGTAAACGTGCTTGAATGCGCGTCACAATAGACTTAAAGAAAAATCCTTTTCCTAAGACCTACTAAAAATTTTATTACTTTTAAGTTAAATGCGGTATTGTTAAGAGTAAACCAGAGGGTAAACAAATCATAAATTAGTGGAACCCACAGGGACCCAGAAACCAAGGAAATAGGTCAGGGCCGGATTTTTTTTTTTTTGTCTAAAATACTTGAAATATTTTAATAGTTTTTGATGTAGTCTAAAATTGTCTAAAAATTTCATACGTCGGATACCGACGCCGCCGCCGCGCCGGTATAAATTTTCGGCTGCTACTACACTCTTCTAACACTTACTATACATAAATCAATATCATGTTGACCCTTTCGTCATTAGAATACATTTTTAATCAACAAAAATTTTTGAAATTTTACAAAAACGAATTGTCAATTATAATTGTCATTGATGTTAGGGGTGTCTGGATTTCATGCTAATTAAACATAACTAAGAGTATCAAGTTATAGATGAATAATGTATAATGTGTTGCATTTAAAGTTCGTCAGGGTCGTAAAGTTATGTGAATCAGCCTGTACATAAAAGGAGACAAATGCACGATTTTTCCTGAGGTGCCGTAAATGTAAACTATAAACAGCCAGAGGGCGAAGTCTGAGGGCTATAAAAGCGCCATAGGAATCATAGCAATTCTCTCGAGAGTGTATATACTATTTTTTGCACGACTTGAGTTAAAAAACCCAAGAAATTGGCTTGTGCCTGCTAATGCACACACTGACATACAGGATGCGCCAGAACTCGCGGCCCAGAGAAAAATGCCATTTAAGATAAGATACTAGGAACATGGAAAAAATGTTAAAAAAATTTTATTATAAAAATTTCGAAGTTATGAGGGTTTAAATTTTGTACTTTGACTCTATTTATTTCTGTTAGAAAAAGAATTTTCCTAGTTTTTTTTTACAGGTTACAGAAAAGAAAACCAGGAAGCTGTATCGTAAATTATAACTTTGTTCAATGTTATTTGTGGCTTTTATTGGCAAAATTTGTGTACCTTTACTAAATAATTGTAAAAAAAAAACGTATACAAGATCATCAGTATCATTAAATAAACATAAAAAAAATGTCAAATGTCAAAATTTTTTGACAGATAGAATTTTTTAAACATTTTTTTCATGTTCCTGGTATCTTACTTGAAATTTTTCTCTGGGACGCGAGTTCTGGTGCATCCTGTATAATTACGACGTTGTAATTATGGTCGCCTTAGTGTTGAATATAAACCGTAGATAAAAATCTACTTTACTAGACGATAAGAACTTATTGCTCGACTTATTGTTTATCTACTCATACTTTTCCAAGTAGGCACTTCCGGCTGATCAGCAACGATCAGGCGACTTATTATTTGCTCCAGACCCTAAAGTTTCACCAAACAAGCAATCTTTAACATTCAATACAAAATAAAAATGATTTTTGAAATTTGAAGTCAGTCTAAAACACTTTAAACTGTATTAATTCTATACAAGCTTTACGTGTATTAATGGTTGTATATGTAATAGTAGTAATCTCGTAGGTAAAAGAAAAGAATAAAACACGGATTCAAAAATGGAAATAAATATATTTTATTGTATTACATTTAATATTTACTATACAAACAATACACTTACACTAAAAAGATAAATAGTTATAAAAAGACCCATTACCTTTAAAAACTGACTGTGGGGTACACACGAGTGTTAAAATTAATATAAGAGTAAGTAAAGGTCCTAATGTACAACAGAAATAAATAATATAAATAACTATAGTACAAATTAAAGATTACAATATACAAACGGCATTAAAATACTTCTTTCCGAAAGCTAAATCCATATTGATCACATTTTACTCTAATAATTCTAGCGAGTTGTGGAGGACCACAATAGAAGACAGTTACTTTACCTTTCTTCTGATCTTGAATTTGCTTGAAAACTTTGTCCCAGTTAGGACGGCCCGCATTAGTTCTAGTCTTCAATCCAGTTATTAAGTCTCTTTTTTCCTACAATAACATTTAAACTATATTTGACAACAGCCCAAATTACTAAATGTACTTTTTCATGAAGCAGATCCAAAGCTAATTGCAGACCCACTGCTTTCATATCCGTTTTTTGTAAGGCACTAGTTATATACATGTGCATCTCTAAGAAACGTTCCATAGCACCGCCAAGTTCAGCTTGTTCTATTTCTAACTGAGACAATAAATTAACAAACCATTCGAATGAACGTTGATTTCGATTAATCCAGAAAAAGTCAACCTATAAAATTGGCAAATTCATAATTGGCGCAATCAATGTCTTAGTTTTACTTTTCTCAAATTCATAACCGTGGGTGGAATTTCGCTAGCCCATGAAAATTTGCACCGGGGACAACAGTGCCTTGCTTTCCAATATCTGTGCATAATGGATTGGAGGATTGAAGCAAAAGGTGTGACTCCAATACCCGTCGCTATCAAAACGGCATGCTGTGCGCGGAATATATGACTTGAAGGGGCTCCGTAAGGGCCATCCAGATAGATCTAACGATAATAAAATTAGTTTGGTGATTAAATTTACAATTGAGTTAGGATTACATAGTGTTAGTCACAAAAATTAACTGTTAGAAAAGCACACAAGCCGTCACACAACGTCACCTCGGTCCCAGCCCCCACCGGCAGATCGCGCAAAATGCGTTCCCTAAGTTCCTCATCACTATCATGAGGCGTCGCTTTCTCAAAAATAGGCTACTAACCAAAAGTCACCAATAAATCACCAAAAGCACCGCAAGTAAACTCAATTACCTCTAAAGGTTTTCCTACAGGATAATTCATTGGTTTCAAGGGAACAGTTCCGGGAGAGAAATCGGTACGGAAACCTGCTCTGCCTTCCTCGGCTTGTTTTTCAGGTGAAGAGGAAAAACTAAGAGCGCTAACTTGACGTCCTTTAAAAAACCCTTACATTTAAATCGATCGACGTTAAAACACTTACCAACAGAGCCTAAAGAGCTGCTAGAATCACGTTGCTCGCAGTTTTCCAAACTGGGAGTTTTGAAAGCTATTATAGTTGGTTTATTACGCATATAACGGAAACTTTGAGCTAGAGACTTATTCTGAGGACTTAAATATGCGAGGCCTAAAGATTGGAGGCGTGCCCGACGAATCTGACACTCGTCGAAACTTTTCTCAGATTCAGAACGCATGTATTCCTTCAAACTAAAACAATTTATTCATTCACAACACAGAACAATGTAATAAAATATAAACAAATAACATCGAGTCAAATAGGTTCAACTTACACAAGAAGCCGCTCTCTTTTCTTGGCTTTCGTCTGAATGTCTGGCATCGACAAAGATTTTTCCAGTGGTGCTTTCTCTGTGAAGAGAAGCCGATGAAGCTTTTTATCCGATGTCACTTTTTTAGGTCTAGGTGAATAAGCTGTCAAATCAGTATTACTACAAGAAGCTCTATTAAAATCGCTCTCGGTTGGCTTTTTATTACTGTCGTCTTGGAAAGTCTCATTGGAGAAACCCACTAGTTGGACTCCGGGTTTTCGACTTGAATCGCGATTTGACAGAGTTCTAGTGATGGTTGCTTGAATTTTCTTTAATGGATTTTGGTTGTTATTATCGATACTTCCATTAGATAACCTCTTTTTTGCATTCGGAGGATTATGTGGTGGGATATCACCATTGTGGAGCTTTTCTTGTTCTTTTTCAAAGTACTCATAGAGACGGTTTGTCCATTGGCCCACACCACGAATATGGAGCCACATGTAATCTATTTTCTTTACTACTAACATGCAATTTGGTTCAAATTCTTACCTTCTTGTTCAGGAGCACTGCTAATAGTAAAGGGATGCCATTCGTATTTGGCGATTGCTGGTATATTGACAAAAACATAATCTCCTGGATGAAAATCAAATTGAAGAGGTCTTTTAATCACCAAATGAGTTACTTTAGATGGTAGAAGTAGCCCTGAACTTATGTAAGTTTTGCCCCTCTCACTTTTCATCGAAACTAGCCTCATTATACGTTCAATTGCATATATACAACCCGGAAGAATAAACCACTTCCAGAAATTCGGCCCGTGAAGTATTACCAATATCCAAAATGGTACATACAATAGATGTGTCCAGTAAAACACCTAATTGTGCTAAAATATTGCCATCTTTAGTGTCACAATATCACACTTACCTCAAAACAGCCTCCTCTTCGTACGAAAGCTTGCGAACAAATAAACATAATCAGAAGAATAAATAGCAGAGCAAAACCAGTCGGATTTGCTAAACCTGGGACTAAACCAAATATTTGTGGCTTGTTAGTGAACAACCACTCATTTACGGTGAGATTTTTGACGTTTATAGGGCTATCAACCACGACTAAACTAAAATTACACACGTGCATAATCGTGTGTAAAACACTGTAACCAAAAATGAACATCCCAGTGAGTTTATGAAAGTAGATGTGTTGATCGAGGGGTAACATCGAGCTGTATCCTCTTGTTCGCAAAAATGTGATACATTGCCTCAACATTAGAACCAAGACAAACATGCAGTTGAAGTTGAGGCACTGACCTTTGTATCAGTAAAATCAATAAAAGGATTATTAAGATTCGTTGTTATTACCTACCACAAGCTCTTGCAAATATCGTGTACCAGTTTTTGTCTCTGTATTCTATCGCACGAGAAATGAAAAGAGCTGCGTTTACTATCAAAAATGCTGCTAAAAATATCAAATAAACGTAATTGTTTTTTACGTAAGGTTTAGTTAATTGATAAGGTTTCATTGCCATGAGCTTTCTCAGAAGTGAATCTGGCGGATTCTGAGTGTTGGGTGGTACCAGCCATCGATCAATACTGAAAAACAAGCACACAGTTGGTATATGGATATTAATCCACAAAGTAAACTGCAAGTCAACATTAATATTTCTAAAAATTTTAGATGTGTTTTGATTCTAAATATTTAATTATAATTATTTTTAAGAAATTAATTTTGTCTAAATCGGAGAGCTAATTTACAGTGAGAACATTTGGCGAGGTTGCATGCGCGTTTTACCTGATTGATAGATTCTCTAACAGCCCCCCGTGCTTTTCCAGCTGGTTTTTGAGAGCTTCATAAGTGATGGCCCCCCTGTTGTTAGTGTCGGCATCTTCGAACATCGCCACCGTCAAGTCGTCGATTTGCTCCTCGCTGAATTGCATTCCATTTTCTTCCATACAGGCTCTCATAACATGTTGGAGTTCTTTATGTTGTATTAAACCGTCGCCTAAAAATAATGTTGCATATTAAAAAGTAACACAGAATCGGCACGAACCATCCAGATCATAAACTTTGAACAGAAACCGTATTTTATCATCAGGAGATTTGCCGGCGAATTGGTGCATCGCGTCCAAAAACTCCTGCAGAGATATTGAACCGGAATTGTCCGTGTCGAAGATTTGGAACACTCGCTCGGTAAAAAAAGGCTACAAGATAAAACTTACAAACAATTTTTTTATCACGCAGAACCTACATTTTTCGAAATGACGATTTTCTTGAAGTCCTCTCTCTTAATTTCTTTCTCGTTGCCTACAGTCTGCCTGAATAATTGCTCTAATCGGTCTAAACTGCCTTTATCGAACCCCGTTCGAGGCCTAGAAAGTGCATATTTACGACAGTGTTATTGCATGTAACTCACAATAATGCAGATAATAAAGAAAATTTATACACGAGATTTATGCATATTTGTATTAGCCTCAAAAACTTTAGGACTTTTGACCCTACGAGACTTACCTCGTGTTTGTAATAGTCGCCAGGAATTCCATAATATTTTCGGAGATTATTATTCCTGAATTGTCTCGATCTATTAACCTAAATAACTTGTCTACGATCTGAAATAAAAGGTATTCAATAGAAGATTTTAAATCAATTACAGTCTTTCAAAACGAAACTCAACATAAATCAAACATAAATTGCAATGTTGTGTATTTTAGTCACTTCATAGAGGTACATAGGATTTTAGTATCTCATTTTGAATCACTATATAATACTCCTATTAACTTACGCCTTTAGCATTAAAAATTTGATTAAACTGCTCCAAATGGATGGGTTCGTCGCCGCAAAGACAAAAGGCAACACTCTCGAGTTGTTCTGCGAAATCTATCTGCTTTTCATCTCTGCAAAAGGATATTGTCATGATTTTTTTTTCGTAATTTAAATTAATGGTCATACGTGAGTCTTTGTTTGAGGAATTCAATCCAGTTTTCTTGAAGTAGACACTGGTCACGGTCCTGGTCGAAGAGTTTAAAAAGTTGTTCCAAGAGCTCCTGCAACAATTAAAATGCAATTTTACTTTCTTTCACAACAAAACCCAAGATAACCAGTATAAAAATAATAACACATGCATTGCAATTCCTTATTGCGAACCCTTCAACTCCAGCAAATGAATTGAAATTACAGCTCGTTTTTTACCGGAGATTAGAAAGCGGCTGGTTCGAAGCAATTGACCCATGACCCAACCCATAAACATAAGTCACAGCCAAGTAACAGGTGTATGGGTTTATTAACACACCATCTCGAACACGACTCAATCACGTAAAAAATTATTCTAGTGTAAGAAGAAGAGCAAAAAGCGACAAGATGATTGGAGTCATTAATCACGTATTAGAATTTATGGTTAAAGTCTGGATTGTGAGACCATTCGAGTTATAAAGTTATGAGAAAAGAACAGTTTTGATACTTTAATCCGAGCTCTGATAGATTTATTATTTACGAATTATCTTAATCGGGAAACTAAAATAATCACAACACTAGAACAAGAAAAAAACGCCACAGAATTGTACTCCCATTAATCACTCACTGAAATTTATGGATGAACTCGATAATAACACGGCGATAAATTATTTTGACACACGATTTTAAGCAGACTCGACTCGAACGGATGCTTTTTGTTCTTGAAAAAAACTGCGGTTGAGACGGTCCTTTATCAAAAGACTATTCTTGTGGAAGGTCTTAAAATTGCAAAAATAAAAGAATTATACTATGTATTAGTCAACCTAATTAGTAATTTTAATAACTTAAGAGATTTTTATTGTTTTGTTTCTATATTTTTAACCGACTTCATCTCATTTAAAAAAACCTCTGGGTCAAATTTTTTCTCACAATCTCCAAACTAGGTAATTGTTTAATTTCTGTCAAGCTTATTTCAACAGGAAATTATAACTATAAAAAATGCTAATTTTAATAATATAGGTACGTTTAAATTTTCATTATGATTCCCAAGCGTAAAGTTTTGTTCCAGGAACATTTGAACGTTCCGTGTAATCAGAGATTTATTATGAGACAAAATAAAAACTAAGTAAATTATAAACTCTCATGTTTTATACATTTAATTCATTAGTTTATTACAGTTTTCTATATTAAGACTTTTGGTCAACTTCGATGAATGCCATCTGAAGCTATAAGTCTTGACTTAATCTTCCTGCTATTCTAATAAACAAAACACACTCTAATTTATCTAAGTACAGCAAATGTAGCGTAATTTTACATCCTACCGATGACTTTGAGTGACCATATTTAGTCGGAAGTTTAGTATGTGATGCGATGTCAAAGCACATTTGCTTTCAACTAAGGTAGTCGCTTCAAGTAATTTTATTTGCTATCAAAATTCTTCCAACTAGACATAAAAGTTTACTAGATGCTTAGAATGTAAGTTCCCCCAGGTTACCGATTCAAGAAACAACTTTATATGCGTTTATACAAAACAAATTACATAGATTCGCACTACAACTGCAAACAACATTTCGATTTTGAAAGCCAACACTTGCTTAAAATCTACATTATTAAAATAATTTGTTGTAGGTATTTGTTGCATTAAACTTGCATGCGTTATAAGTGCATAAATCATAAAACAAATTTTGTTCTACGATTAAAACATTATGTGGAAATTCAATCGGACAAGATGTAGGTAAGGAAGATCATAACTGGTATGTTTAATATATCTTCATTTCATAGAGATTATGTAAGAGTAAGATGAAATATTGTACTCACTTATAAATTATTAAAAATATAATTGCTACACTGCATATAACAAGAATAATGTCTTTAAATACATTTAAAATAAACAAAATATAAGTAGGCATACTTAGTGGCCTAATTGCATCAGCATTTCAAACTGCTCAGAAATATCATCTCACAATTTTCCTGAATCTTGAGTATATTTCTGTTACCACGTTGATTAGTATACAATTGTTTATAATTAGCTGGCTACCTGACTGTTTATTTGTATATTGTAAGTAATCGTATAAATCCTAAATATTTACCGTTAAAAAATGTGTCAAAGATTAATTGAAGAAATTAATTTCTTTATAAACAAAGTTTCTAAATAGTTTACAATCATGTCGCTTGTTTACCTATATAAAATGTTGTCAGTGTGAAAAACTATTTTTTGGAGATTTTGTTTAGGTATTTGTGGAAAGTTTGCTCATTTTTTTCCTTAGGTTATTAATGCAAACGACGCAACTTGAAAGAATTGAGAGAAAAAATATTAGTTTGAATAAATACACTGTTCAACACCAAAATCCTTTTTTAGATGTATTTTATGTTTTTTAGAGCGCTGTATTATGCAAATTTGAAATACGTTGAAATTTTTATTTAAGGAAATATTTTTTAATCGCCTATGAAGTTCTGAAAATGTTTTTTTTTGTATACGCTTCTGAAATTGTTACAAGTACCTAAAACCCAGTTTTTGCGAACGAATCGTTGCTGTTTCCGGACGAGGTGAAACCGAATCTGGAATAGCAGATGAGTCCGCAAAAACGTTTTAGGTACTTGATACAAACAACATTTTTTTTGTTAAAGCTCCCAAAACACAAATTCACACCTCTTATTAATTCAAAAAATTTCGCCACCATAGTTACCAATTTTATTTTTTAATCCGGAAAAAGGACGACTCAAATGAAAACAACTGTTTTCGGGAGAGTATACAAAAATTAGCTTTTTTTGTATACGCTCCTGAAAATAGTTGCTTTAGGAACTCAGTTGAGCCCCTAAAATGAGTTCTTTTCGCACTCAATATAATAGGACGAAAAATGGTTATTTTAGGTTCTTAGTCCCCAACAACAGTTTTTCCTGACGAAAAAGTCAATTTGGTATGATGGCAAATTTTTTTGAATTAATAAGAGGCCGTGTAAATTTGCTCTTTGGGAGCTTCGCCTCGTCCGGAAACAGCTACAATTCGTATGTATTTTAGGTACTTGTAACAAAAATAATTATTTCTGTTGGATTCAGGTTTTTTGTCTGTCGGTTTTACTTTTTCGTATAGGTATACCTATCAGGCTTCGCACTCACCGAATAAAAAAAGATAATGTACACCCTTTTTGTATATAGAAGAATACAAAGTAAAAAGTTATTGGACAGTGTTACCTATTATTTATTTCACTCAAAACAATAAATTAATGATTTGAGTTAAATTTTTCTAGTAAGATTTTGATAGGTCATAACTTTTCAATAATAAATGCCATGATAAAATCTATCCATTCTTTTAAGATCATCTTTTTGTCTTCTTTTTCCATAGTTTTAAAGACAAACAAATCCACTTATGAAGCATAGTCAATGGAAATAATCTATCGCTTAAGACTCTCTTACACAATACGCCCAAGAATGTCCAAGCAATAATTAACAGTTCAGTAAATGCTGTTCCAATATTAGTTTAGCGGTAGAAGAAAAAACGCTCGGTCGTTTCCTGAACCAAAGGACAATAATAACACTTAAAAGACCGCCGTGTAAAGTACATAGTCCGCCCACTGTAACCGCAGCGCTTTAATTTACGACGTGTAGTGACCATTTAACGTTGCAACAACATGAAAATGTCCAACACAATGTATGGCAAACACGCGTCATAAACAATAAATGTCAATATGGACCAGATTCGCAACGGTCACGCATTTCTCAAGCGGGGACTACCCGCGGATGATTTATACGGGGCACCATCAATCATTTTTTGGTAGTTTTAAACTACACTTTGTTATTAAATTAACATTAGCTCTTATTATAGAATACACATGGGGGGCAGGAGATTTGACGTACGGCGGACACGCAAGACTCCCATCGGACCAAGAGAAAACAAGGCCGATTATGGATCACCATGAAATAAATGACATGCAAAGCCTCTAGTTAAAAATAAAATGAAGGATTATTATTTAGGTTAATCAAATAACTCAAACTTTTTTAACTCTTACAAACTCGAGTCCAAAAATGAAAAGTATACCTAAATAAACAAAACATTTACAAAAGTGACAAAGAGTATCGTGAATAAAACCTTTGACTTCTAGAAAAAAATTTGATTAAGCCGCTTAAAATTTGACGAATTTGGCATAGAGCTTCTAAAAAAACTGGAAAGCAAGAAGTCCCAACAATACTTTGCTCCAGGACTAAAGAGCAAAGGTACATCATAACATCATAACTAAATATGGTTGTAAGAGTGAAGATAATTTAAAAAATAAAATACGGAGAATAAAAAAATAAAAAACAAAGAAAACTAAAATTAAAGTACACGCAACAGCAAAATTAAAAAGTGTTTCCAAATTTTTCGTTCCGAAAATAACTGTATTTATAAAATTTAGAAGCAAATCATAAATTTATTCTCGTAAAATTATTAATTTATTAATTTTTTGGTGTACCTATTATATTTTTGAAACACCATTCTTGACACCCTACTCAGAAGATATTTTTTTACAACAAAAGTTATTGGCTCAAGTGATCTCATTTCGAAATGACGCAGAAATATGAAAAAAATTGATGATTGTAGTTAGGGATCGTGCGTCCATATCGCCCATGTGACCAAGTCACCCACATACCCACTAAGCTGCACACCGTTAATATTATTAATAAAACAAAGAACAGTGGGGTACGTGAAACTAATTAGGCAGAAGTCATCGAGTTGCACTTTCACCGGCACTATTGGCCGCCCTCCCCAAATTGTGTCCACGACACAACCTCTCCAGACAACCTAAAACCAGTCACAAGTCAATGGCGAGAAGTGAGAGAAGGCTACTGCAGATTTATTTCACCTGTTTTCGTAACAGCACGCCCATGGCTGCACCCAGAGATTTTATATCGTGCACTCTATAAGAATTCTTTATTGCATACAATAATTGTTGATGTTGACATTTTTTGGAATCACTATGATTTGTTAGGTTTACCACCTTCATTATGCACTTTATTAATCATATATGACGACCAGAAGCCGCTGACTGATGAGGATGATAATGACATCATATGGTGCGAAATTTATTATAGGATCAGTCGACGTAAATCATGCATTTAT